AATAATTTTTCGACGTATAGTGAAGTTATTTCTATTTGGTATTTTTAAAAAAAAGTTATTGGCGTACATTTTTTTGTTATTTGAATTTGGTCCAGGAATGCGCCCCTGTAATTACGACCCATCTTATGTAACGGTCTATAGATATGAGGCACAATTGTATCGAGAAAACTGCACTAATGAGCCTAAACTCTAAACCTAAAATCATGGTTTCACAGTATCTATCAAAATAGCCAGTGTTACATGTCAAAGAACACCGAAAGACATGGAGATAAGAAAAATTTATCATATACGCTAACAAAGCGATATCGCCCTTTTTGTTTCAGCGTTTTGTTTATTGCCGCTACACTATTTTTAAGCACGCCGCGTAGAAATGACTATACGAGGGATTGTCGGTAGAGTCTCTTCTACTTAGGTGCAGATGGAATAACTACAAAGTAAATAATATACTATTTTATTAAGCCTGCATGTTGATAGCATTAACTTTCGAAATAGAGTTCTCAGCGACGTATTGCATATTCTGTTCAATGAAACGAAACTGTGCTTCCTTGAAAGTACTTGAGTAAACCTATTTTTGCTATTGGATATATTTGCTGATATGTTAATGCTACCGACATTATATTGACAAATTTAGAGAGACGAACAACTAGCTCTGAAGGATTTTGGATTCCGAACATATCCCAAAAATTATGTACATTTGCAGAGGCATAATGTGTAATTTGGATACATTAGGTCCTATGCATACATTCAACACTGTATATAGCTTTCGTATTGAAATATGAAGTAGCATTTTAATATTCTCCTTTGAGGTAAGCAAGCAGCTGGGACATTGAAACAGATATGTATACTCAAATTTGGCTCCAATGAGATTATTTGGTGAAGTAATATAATCGGAATCCAATATTACCTGACACATTTTAGTTGAAAAATTGATTTTAGAATTTTATACAATAACATTTACAATTCAATAAATATTTTTCAAACACTAACAAAACTTTACGTAATTGCAAGTTTTCTCACTTGGTGAAATTCTCGATCAGGTTAATTGGAATTGTGCTATCGCATTTATCATTTGGATTTTTTGCTATAGCGCGCAATATTAATGTTGAACCACAAGAGCATCAGAAAATCAAAAAATTAAATAACACCAAGAAGTAACGACAAATATTTAAACTAATATATATCTTTAGAAACAAGGACCCGATTGGTTGGTAACGGCATCAATAATTAAAGCTTGTGAGATAAACAACTAGTTCATACAACAATAAATATCAAACACAGTATTATGAATGGATACATAATATATAATATTAAAAAAAAAACATATCGGAAAAAGATATGTTTTGATATTAGTTAAAGTTAGTGGTACTCGAGAGGCTTGACACTTGAAAAAATGCATTTTGAATAAATGTATGTCATATACACTTCCAATGTTCCAATTTTTAAGCTGCCAGACCTCTCAGCTTAGATAGGTTGCTTTAAATGCTGCTAAAAGTGAAAGTTGAAAACTCATGTTACCATTATTTTTATAATTTGAATTTATTGTTAATTTTGTCACAAGATTAATTGTATCTTAATAAATAAGCAGGTATGATTTTCGATTATCAGTTCCACACAAATAAATCATAGCAACACTAGTGAAAGAGCTTAATTGCTTATGAGGTTCCGATAATATTCTAAAATTTGAACATAAACCACTACAATGCTAAGATCACTTAATTGACGACTGTTTTCATGCATTATCGATATGAGAACTCAATTTGCAATAAGATATAGATTATAAAAAAGCTACATTAATTTTTACTTCTCAACCACGTCTTTTAATACTGATATCTACAGGTTCCACACAGAAGCATAATTATTGTTATGCTCATAGAGATATTTTATTGTGATTAAAATGATTAGACGACAAATACTATGCCTCTTTCTTAGGACAGCTTTCAGATTCAAACGATGTTTCTTAAGCTGGTATAAATAATTTTTCAAGGTAAGGATCATTTCAAAAATTTTGATTACAATTAACGTATCGTAAAGTCGAACAATTCGGTTTTGTGCAACTGCAAGGCAATAGAAAAATCAACAAAACTTCTCGTGTCTAAATTATTATAATTGTTTTATACCAGCCGGGGGAATAGCTAAAAACATTTCATTGTTCTTACGTGACATTAAAAACTTATCATGTTCTATATGTATGGAATATTTATTCTCTTACCTGTTATACAAAAAATAATGAAATAATTATTATAGTCTCAAATATTGCCATTTCTCAAATGACTTGAAAAATCGCTTAGATACTTTTTGAATGGTTATACACTTATTTATTTTATAGTACAAGGATTTCTAAAAAAAGGTGCATAACTTAACTGACAGGAGTGGGGGTCACAACAAATACAAGATTTTATTGTGTATGGTTCTACCTGCTTCCTTTATATATCATGGATCTTAAACTAGATGGCAAACCAGAAATTTGGGACCAGACCCTACAAGAGCTCCTCGTATAGGCTTAATCTAGTTTTAACCGATTGATCAAACATGAATTAAAATTTCAAACAAATTATGCTATAAATCCATTGTAGACTCAATATAAGAATCGGAACTTTTTCAGTATCGAAGAAAAGTAGATTGTGGTTTTGTATTTTGAAAGAATGTAGAAAAATTTGATTATGACATACTGTAGATACAACTATACCTAGCTATGGTTTGTACTTACACTTTACAAATTTAAATAAAAGTTGGTCTGATTCTTACATTGAACTAGAATTTAACGCTCTGTGCTCAAATACACTCACACTAAAATTAATACAATCTCCATTATACAACCTCGTTCAACCGTACATGTATTTACAATACATACTGAAAGAAATTTTTTAACTTGTATTGTTGCTACTTTGTAATATACATTATTTTCATGCTTATATCAGTGACATATACTTTTATTGAGAATCAGATCTATTTTTCTGACTTTACTGACAAAGAACTATTTCGTTTAGAATGGTGGTTTTAGATCTTTAGTAACAATTTATATCCAATTTTTAATCAGAAAATTCTGATCAACTTGTTTTCAACTGCAAACGATGTTCTTAAAGCAACGACGTTATATTGCATAAAATTAAAGGAAATCCTGAAAATACTTCTTACCACTCACACTGAATATACTTTTCTCCACAAAATTCACACCTACAATGCGCTCAAAATTATTATCTTTAATTATTATCAACGAATATGGCTGACGACAGCATGTCGTCACCAATTATTATTGTCAGCACAGCCTTGGAGTGCTAGCACCCCAAAAATCCTTAACGCTTATTAAGATTAAAAACAAATTATAAATTAACAACAATAACATAATATATCTGAGGGGTAATCTGAACGATTATCTCATACAATTTGGAGTCGAGCTGATTCAATGCAGGATTACTTTTTGGCACATGGATTACGTATCAACATGTACGAGAGCTTGTATTTAAAAGTCAAAAAGTTTTTGTGAATTATACTGAAATTTAATTCACATTCATTTGCGGTGATAAAATGTTTTCTATATTTTCATTCACAATACCTCTCAATTGATATGATAGCCAGACCAGCAGTAATATAAACTGTATCAAAAACTTAATAACTTAATAACTGGGCTTTTAAGCCAACAAAACGTTTTCATAAATTACTAGTGTGATAGTGTCCTTCCTACCACTTGTATTTTTTACCATAATCAACTTTTTCAGTGATAGGAGTGACATCTCATATCAAAATGCAAATTTGATAGTGATAAAATATGATTTGAACAATATAAAACAATCATTCTTATATACATATGGATAAGGTTAGAAATATTACACATTAGCATAAGCACCACCGTGGTTTCAAATTTTTTGACGGTACCGCTTTCAATAAACAAAAGTATGCCCAACCATAATATTGAAATAACATTAAAGAGTGACTGAATTATTATACTTGCAGCATCACACCTGGAGTTAGTTTGTAACGACTTTCCAGTACAAATACTCGTAGGTCTCAATATCGACATTTTATTTTTTATACACGTCAATGATGCTATATGCGAAATGTAATAGCTGAAAACCTAGTTGATTCTACTGCTAAGTTTGTAAAATGCTTCCGACCAGTATATGAACATGTTTTAGAGTGTACCACAGAATATCCCGTAAATACAGTGGATTATTATTAATAGAATACTAAGAGCGAACTAAAAACTAAAATGTTTATCGCAAAATCAATTGAAGGAATTTTTTAACACGTTGACGGACACTCGAAAAACTGGTTTCAAGTAAAACAAAATGCACCTGTGTTTTTCATAATCTTGCAAACAGTGATGGAAAAGAGTTATGGAAATACATATACATATTTTGTCTGTTTTTTCATAATTCTTATAGAAAAATGGGCCGACGCGACGGATAGAGACGTAATGCCCCATAACACATAACTTTTGGTTCATATGGGCATTGACGTCTATTGCCGTTCAGTATAAAATATACACATATTTGAAAACATTTATTGAAGGTATAGGTAGTCCCTTTATTCTAAAACAGAACATAAAAATATCAATGTTTATTTGTGCCACATCTCAAAACATGTCCCTGGGCACAGCGGTGGCTTGTCGGTACAAGTTTTACAACGCAATGAGGTCTCCTTTCTGGTTCTGCTTTCCGTGCAGTTTCTACACTGGAGGTAGTATTTTCCTTTCTTCTTGAATTTTTCCAGAATGGGAATTTCTTTAAAAAAATGTGTTTCTGTTTCCTTGCCTGTTTTCGATACCTGCTTTCTTTTGTTGAAGGTTTTATTGTTACCAGATCTCGACCATCTAAAGCTTCGGGATTATCCCGAAAGACTTTTTATTTTGAAATGTCTAAAGTTCAATAAAACCAGTTTGAAATTCACAGAATTTTTGTGAAGATAATAGGCATTCCAAATGCATAAATCCAAAACTTTTTTGGCCATCTTATTGTTTTTAATGGGCTAGAATAGTAGCTTATCGGTTGGTCGGCTCTATCAATGCATAATGAGACGTTTCACTAAGGCAGTAATTCTTGGTTCTTGGTTGCATTGGTGCATCATAATCCCATGTTTTTTCTCTATAAATTTCCATATTGAGCACATATCAGTCACTGCTACAAAGCTCATAAAATTTTATATCATATCTAGATTTTTGTTCTTGATTTATATATACACTAAATTTCACTAAATCTGTCCCTCTCCTGTACATTCTCTCTGGATGAATTTGAATTGTTTTCGTCAGCGAGATAATTATCGTCATCACTTCATACCACGCCATTTCTAAGCAACCAACGCAAACGTTGTCGCAAACGAAACACATATTTTGTTACTCCAAACAATGCAAAAATATGGTACAATACAGCTTCCAAGCCAACAGTAGACTTTAACGAAAATATTACAAACCAAAACGTAAAACATACAACACAAAAACACCCCGCAAGAGAGCAAAACAGTAATCCTATTCGACTGATAATAACAAACCAAGTGACGGCTGATTCCGCGGCGAGGTGGCCAAGGTCACTGCAAACATGAACATATTTCGTGACCATGAGCTAACCAATCAGCTTCTTTTAAAATAATTTTCATGCCACGAAATCAGGGCGAAGACGGGAATGCCCGTCAGTGTCCGTCAACGTGTTAATATATTATGTAACACGTACCAGTTTTTGTTCATTTACACTGATACCGACTCACCGATTCTCGTGCCCCATCATCGTTTCCTTAATCTGTAATTTATTGGATATGTATGGTGCACTCTATTAGACGACTGCTTCCAAGAAGCTTCAATGTAAGCAGCTTGGACTGTTTCGTTTTCATTACTCTAAACTATGGATTTATGAGATAACTGGAAATCAAATGGTGTGGTTCGATGATCGGTCTTTTACACAATCATTATCCAAAACGTTTTTGATATTAGAAACAGTCAATTTGCTACAACCTCTAAGTTTTTTACTATTTTACGAACAGTATAGGCAAATACTCTTTTAGCCGCTGAACTAAATATATGTGAACCCACTCATTTGTACCGCACTATTCACTGCACGGTCTGTAATGATCTTTCAGCGACTGGCTTCAAGTGCTTTATAGAAGAGCAAAAAACATTGCAAAATTACGTGTATTTCCCACCTTTTTGTAAATCGCAATAGGTTTGCGGAGCTTAATCATTAATAAAATGACTTGCCTATTTTTATACAGGGCGTTTAGATATTTTACAAGAAAAGACGAACTATTTTTTACAAAGCACAACATTTCAATGGTTGAAATGGAGGCGCAGTTTTTGAATTTGTATCGCCAATTAATATCTTAGAACCTACACTATGAAACCATTAGTATTATTTTATTCATAAGGAAAAATTAGTCAACATTATTCGCCCAATTTCTCCGATATAGTTCCAAGCACCCTGTATAGACCAATATATCTACTTTCAAATAAAAAATACTATATCTATTATAATTTCATATTAATGTATCACAAGAACACTTATCTAAACTGTTAATAATTTCTATAGGTTCAATCTATATAGAAAATACTTCATAATATATTTATGCTAGTATAACTATTTTTTAGTTTGACTGCATTGTTTTTATGTATATTTATAAAACAATGTCGCAATAGGTATACAAATTCACAAATTGACGGATAGTACCTAAATATACCTTCAAAGTGCTATATTTAACAGTTGCAATCTTGTTTTTGGATAAAATACTATAAAAAGATATCCTCGAGACTTCCTATCGCATACCTTTTTTTGGATATATACTGTTGTGTAGTCTCCTTTTGCAAATAATTTTTAGATTGAGACCACGCTGAAATATAGTCTAACAACAAACTGAACTGAAAATACTTGCTAAGGGCAGTACCCAGTACCAGTTCTCGATCGGTTGCGATACCTTGTTTAATAGTAATGATGAATATTGAGTTCTGCCAGATGAAGTTTTGACAAACTTTCGAAAGCATCATGATATTTTGTTCTTACTTTGATTCACTAGTATGCAATGATGGATTAAACTACTCTCGGATAGTTTAACTCGATTTGACTGCTTGATCAGCAAATATTACGTCTGTACCATTCTATTTTGTCGAGCAAGCTCGTCATTTTATTCTCATTTGGCCTGATTATTTAATGCTATATTTTTTGATAAGTTCTCTTTTTGGGTGCAAATTTGTTCAATTTCCTTATGTAAAACCAGTTGTATATGGCGAAAATTGTATTTTTAATTTGTATTTCCATTTTTTTTCAAGATTTATTGCTGAGTACTCCATCAAATTGTATTGAACTATAAGAGAAAATAGTTTATCGAGGATAGCCTTAAATATCTATGAAATCTAACCTAACCAAAATTTCAAGTTGCGTCGAATAATAAGTGCAGATAGGCACTGACTTACGACAGTCATCGATTTCAAAGATTGCTTCCACGATCAGCTAACACGTAGCTTAGGTATTTTTGTAATATATTTATTATTTGTTATTGTAATATCTTCTCGAAAATAGAGGCAACTACTACAATATTTATTATTTACTAAAATTTTGGAGTTTATTTGCCATGTAGCTTAAACAACACATAACGCTAAGCTCCAGTTTTCCAAATCACAGAACCACTGACGAAGAATACGTTTGTATTTTCGACGTGGTATGTTTTGATTTGTAGGCCAAACAGTATGATTGGCTACTTAATTCTGCCTATCAAATATTATACTGCTGCTTTAGATATTCGGCTTTAGATACAATTTCAAAGTTTATATGTTGTATAGGCTACTGCTGTATTTTTTGCTTTTAGTTGACATGTAACACAAAGTACCAACTATATAACATGTGTATCTGATATTATATTTCCCTAAACTCTATTAAAATGTATGCTCAAATGGTGATTTTTGAATGAACTATTCACATAATTCTTATCTTCTATAAACTTTTCAAGGTTTTGTAATACTTATTTATAAGACACTTATCGTACATGATTATGTTTTTATTTTATTCAAGGTTGTCTTTAAAATGGAATTTTCATAACGCCTGTAAGAAAAACTCAGTTTTCGTTGTTATTATCATATGAGTTCTCATAAAAATCAATTTTAATCAATACATGGCTGTTTTTCTTTCTTCTTCTTCTGATATTTTAATGACCCTTTGTATTTGCACACTCTTCATTTCAAATCTGCGATATGTCTCAGTAAAAATGGATTTTTCTTGTTTAAGGGTTATGAAAATTACTTGAGCTTCTCGAGGAAAGATTACATATTCTCTCATGTTCTGGCTTAAATCTTCCCCTCGACAGGCTATATAGTACTGGATAGTATATACTGTCCCTTTTTTCATAAATTCACATATTATAGCTCAGAAAATTAATTCGACGATAATGTCAAAATAAAATACGTTTTTGATATTAAGGAGCCTAAGAATTGAAGATATAACAGATATGTGAATTTCATATGGCTTCACGAAACGATAATTATAAAATTGACTTGGTTTGTTTTTCTAGACAAAGTCAAAGCACTCATTGTACAGTGTGCTTCAATATAAAGCTGCACTTCAAATGTTTACGAACGAATAAAAATTACCCGGTATTTTTAAAACATTGGACAAACATTCAAAGGGCGATCTGAGCCTCTTTTAAGACTATTTTGCCCTCTGTTTCCGAAATACTGCTCAATTGGAGATATGTCCTTAAAGGACGCCACCTAAAGTAGGTTCTTTTTCAATTGCTTCTGAACGGCACTGTTTAACTTAAGGAAATTTTGTTAGCATAATAATCAATCAGCGCCTCATACGATGGTACCCGCAGAACATCATTTTTCGATACCCTGTAAATTGGTTGAACGGTGATGTTTTTAAAGCCTGATCTCTTCTCCGCATTTATATAAAACAATCTTGTTTGAATATCGCTTAGTATCTCCATGTCGATTTACGCTGCAGTGAATGCTAAAAAGGTTGAAAAAAGCCAAAAAGTTAGGCTTTACAAAAGTATCATTTTTGAACCATTATATGGCTTAAAGAAAGTCAATATTGGGTTAGGGGTTATGCACTTCTGCCGAACTAAATAACCATACCAGCATGTAAGGTCCCAACTGGCTATTACTCTTTTCTTACAAAAATTTCATCGATTTACATAGTGTCGAAAAACCTATTTTAAGTAGCGTCATTTCGGGGCCCGTATCTCCAAAACAAAGCGGTATGTCAAAAATCGTCACAGAATAAAATAATTTTAAAATAGTCAATGACCCCCTACATTTTTTTAGAAAAACCTTCAAAATGCTATACTAGCCTCTCTCAACAGAGTATGTGGGATCTAACATATTTTATTTGATTTTGTGGGCCCATCTGACCACTATTCAAGCTTACCGTACATTATAAAATAACAAAATGATTACTTTTATTGAATAATGATCTCCACCCACTAATTTGGAATACTAAACCCTCCCATACACACACCCTTAAAATTTTCTAATACGTCCTTTCTTGCGGCCCTCCATGAAGGTACTGATCCTGAGCAGGCGGTTGTACCGTTTCTTGTCTGAAAGGGTTGGAGGAAACTGCAAAGGGGTTGCTGGTGGAAAGGATGGGGGCTGGAGATGCGGGCATGGGAGGTGGTGGGCGAGATGGTTGAGGGGGTAATTGTGTCTCCATGACGGCACCGTAGCTGGGAGGCTGGTGCTGTTGGTATGACGCAGTACCACCAGAGGGCTTGCGGTGGAGGAGACCTTGGTCCACCGACGATTGCTGGAAGGTAAAGATAAACACCGCTTAACACTCAGTGGCGAATTCACAGGGGATTAGGGAAAGTTTCTATCACTATAAAAACAAAAATGCGCAGAAAATTGTTTGTGCCCTCAGTAGCCCCCGCTCTTCAATTTTCAATCGATGAGATTTAATTTTCTCACCCCCCCCCTCTGGATCCCCCTGTTAACAATAGTGAATACGTAATATAAATGTATCAAGTTATATTGATACATTTTAGGACTTGCGTAGATAAGAATAGCTTTAGCATTGTCGGTGCTTCAGTCAGAGCAGTGCTACAACAAAGGTTGCGGTAATGATAAAGCAGTGGTGCGAAAATTTGGTGTCAGCTTCTGCACGAAGAAATAGGTTTCGGAAGCAAGTTGTATTGTTTTTGAAAATATTGAAGAACCTATAAATAAAAGTATCTATGCTTATTAGGCTTTAAAAGAGGTTGTGTTATTGTACAAGTTGTCCAGGAATACGTTTCCCTTTTTAAATTCGAATAACTTTGCAACAGTGTAACTTAGCGCAGTCGGCGTAGCGTCCATCGATAGTGGATCGATGCAGATTATTTAGTAAATATGCAGCGTTGGTTTGGTTCGCATCGTGCGTTCATTATTGAGGCATATTTCAATAACAATGACTCTTACACAATTGCAAGTCGAAGGTTTTGTCGTAACTCCAGTATTAGGCGCGTGGAGGACACACCAAGTAAAAATTTAGGGAAATCGTGGGTGAAGAAGTTTAGAGGAAAATCGTTAGCTTTAAATGTAAAAGGCCCTGGTCGTCCAAGAAATGTAACTTCTCTTGAGAATGTTGTAGCTGTGCGCGCCGCTATAATTCAAAATCCAAGTGGATCTGTTCGTAAAACATTTTCATACAATTTTAAGGAGATATTTAAAGCTTTTCATCCCTACAAGATCCCAATAGTGCAAGAATTAAGCCCAAATGACTTTATAAACTGTCGTTCCTTTGCCGAAACAATGATGAACCTTTTTTTTGTAAACGACCGAATTAACAACATTTTGTTCAGTGACAAGGCGCACTTCCACCTTTCAGGTGCAGTTGATAAGCAAAATTGTCGTTATTGGGCATCAGAGAACCCAAAGCAAAAACACGAAAGGTCCTACATAGCTTCAGAAACTATCGATCCGTTCTTTTTTGAGCCCCAACGTGGCATAGCCCAGACTGTAAGTGATAGTTATTGTGCAACGATTCGCTAGTCTTTGGTATTTCAGCTACAAGAATTTGATGGATTTAATCAAGAAACATGGTATTAACAAGACGGCGCTACCGCACGTATAGCCCGAGCCTGTATGGAAGTCGTTCGAAAATTATTCCCGGAGAAGGTCATCTCTCGCTTTGGAGACCTGAACTGGCCAACTAGGTCTTCAGATCTCACCCCATTGGACTTTTTTTGTCGGGATACCTTACAAGTAAATTTTATGTTAATTGGCCTAGGACTTTGCAAGAATTAACACAAAAAATACGGGGAGAAATTAGAGCAATTACATCTGGATTATGTTTAGCACATGAAAATGGCTTTGACCGAAATAGAAGGCACAGTGACAATATAATTTTTAAAACATGAAATCCGCCTATATTGTGTGTATTTTTGCTTCAATAAATTAATTTTAAAACTTTAAGAAAGAATTTTATCAGCGTTTAAAGAGGTAGATTTATTCCAGGACCTTACCTTAACAGGTAGAGGAGCATTCAGTTGATTCCATTGTTTTTCTTCCTCAATCTTGGGATCAGCCCATGGCTGCAATTCTCCAGAAGCGAAGACTCCATAGAAAATTATTCCTGCATAGTGTATAAAGGCCGATATTATCAAGACGATCCTCCACTCTTCTTTTTTCTGCAACAATTGTCTAATGGGGGTTAAGTGATCAGATTAAGTGTATATTGGCTATTAGATATAAGAACAGCTAACGAAATGTTTCGGTCGTCTAGCTGGAATCGCGCAAAGAATTGCACATCAAAATTCGTTGGAAATTCGAAGTAAAGATTTTTCACAAAATAACCGAAAACGCCTCCACTAAATAGTACGTATTATGGGCAAATTACAAAATATGCGTTTCTCATCTTTTACATCTCCACGCATAAGGGAGGAAGATACTGTTATCGCAAACATTTAAAATCTTAATTAACTTGCGATATTAACTCATATCATCTATTTCCATCGGTTTGTCTGCTTGTCTGGTTGTTGGCGTTATTTTTATTTCGTAATCTTGGAAACGGGTGCACTGATTCGGATGAAATTTTGGAGCAGAATTCTGTGAGGTCATAGTAGGAAGTGCTACTTCGCCTTTGAAATTCGTTTATATGGTAGCGGTATTATGAGCAGAAAACAAAACAGCTTCAGATCGTTCCCAAAGTTTCTTTTGTATGCTTAAACAACCTTCTGGAACATTTTGGGTGGGATTGAAAACATTTTTGAAAAGGTTACAATATTGAAATATTCCGAAAACATGTGGAATTTATAATTTAAAGTATGGTCTAAAGCGTGAGACAATGGATAACAATTTACGCAATTGGTCTTCCACACGGCTGTCGGAGGCCTTGTGAGCCGGGGGTCCCGTATCATTCGTACGGCTGACACGGCGATTGCTACGTCTCTGCGTGCAATTTAATACAAAGTTCCGCCAAGTTGAATTTCTCTTGAATAGGGGTGAGGTGGGCATTGTTTCTTCATAATTTTTTCTAGTGATAGCTGCATATTGAATGCCTAACTATCAAAGTAGTACTTAGAGAAGCGCTAATAGAATCTCTTATGCATATAAAATAAATAATAGTTTGAAAAAACTAAAAAAACACGCTTTTATAGCTAACGGAACTAAAAAGTAGAAAATAATTTTTAATTACAAAGAGTTTATATTACAGTAGTTGATGGTCGAACAATCAATTATAATTAATGACGTCAAAATAAAATTATAATAAAATTTAAGTTATTAACCCAGATACCCCTACCGTCCGTTATAACAATCACCTAATATTTCGCTTCAAATTTGAAACTCTGTCACTCCGCGTTAGATGGCGTTGGGTTATTCGCTGTTAGAAACACGTGTTTAAGCGAAATTCATTGTTCTAACCTCTTAAAGGGAGAGTTCTGTATTCGAGTAAGTGTTTGGAATAACAGGTGCTTAGTTTGTTGTGAACAATGGATAATTATAGGTGAGTATACTGATAAAATATTCATATTATTTTTCCATCCTGTGAATAAGTAATTTTAGAAAACATCAATCTTTATAATTGTAAACAAATAAGTTAAAAATTTGCATCTCACCGGCAAAAATATAACCTCAAATACCGATGTCCATTTTAACGGACAGTAGGAAAATCCGGTATTATTTTTTTTCTTTTATTTGCAGTTATTGGAACTATTGGAAGCGGCCCTTGAAACTTCATGAACTCATGGCAGAAATTGAAAACATTGATGACGATGAGTTGATTCCTGATACTATTGCCGTTCTACCGCCAGTTAACGCAAATGAATATAACACTGATGAGGATTCCGGCGACGGAAATGAAGTGGATATAAACAACCTCCCTGGAAGTCAGCTGATGACTGAAGTTGAGGTTGTATTTGAAAACAAGGGATCAAACCAAACTACAGTTGAGAGTGATTTTGATAGCGACGATGACCTACCTTTGTCTACCTTACGAAAAAACGACCAAAATTATCAAAACCAAATTACTCTTGGAAAAAAGGTGACATCAACCAAGATTTTCCAGAATGGGTAAACGCAAGTGGTCCAAAAAATTCTTTATCTCCTTTAGAACCATTTTTTCAGTTTATAGATGACGAAATGATTGATTTGGTTGTGAAATATTCCAATATATATATGCTATTCAGCATAATCGCCGAGGTGATATACATTCCAGTGAAATAAAATGTTTCATTGGTGTGTTACTGCTCTCTGGATACAACTCATTTCGTCGACATATTGGGAAAATAACAGTGACGCAGGAAATAAGTTAGTCTATTCGGCGCTTTCTCGAGATCGCTTTAGCTTTATAATGCAGAATTTGCACCTGAATGATAACAACAATCTTGAAAATACCGATATGTTTTCGAAACTAAGGCACTTGTTTTCTACTCTGAATGAGAAATTTCAGTCATTTGCATCCCTTGAAGAGTGCCATAGCGTGGACGAGTCGATGGTACCCTATTACGGCGGTCATGGATCAAAACAGTTCATCCGAGGAAAGCCCATTCGTTGGGGTTATAAGGTATGGGTGGGAACAACTAAAAAGGGGTACATTGAATGGTTTGAGCCGTATAAAGGGTCCACAACTATTATTTCTGAAAAATATCGTCCTCTTGGCTTAGGGGCTAGTGTTGTTCTTCAGTTTGCTGATATTATTCAGTATCAATGTGAAAAAGCTCCTTTCCATATCTTTTGTGACAATTTTTTTACGTCATTACCTCTGTTGGCTGAGCTGACCTCCAGGGGGCTCAAATGCACAGGAACTTTGCGAGAAAACAGACTATCAGATTGCCCTCTTGAAAAATCCAGTATGTTCAAGAAAAAATCCCGTGGTAGTTTTGATTATCGTTTGGAGGAGTACCAAAATAATATTGTATCTAAATGGAATGACAATAGTGTTGTTACAGTCGCCTCAGATGTAACATCTCCTTTTCCGACACAGCAAGTCAAACGCTTCTCTCAGAAAGAAAAGAAAATGATACATGTTGAGCAGCCATGTTTGATCAAACAATACAACGAAAACATGGGCGGTGTTGATAGGGCTGACCAAAATATAAGCCTTTACCGCGTAGGAATCAGGGGAAAGAAGTGGTATTTTTGCTTGTTTTCACATGCTCTGAATATGGCAGAACAAAACGCATGGCAACTTCATAAATATTCTGGCGGAAAAATGGACCATTTGCAGTTTAGGAGGTGTATTGCTGCGGGATTATTAGAAACTTATATGAAAGAAACAAAAAGGGGGTCATCTAAACCAGGCAAATACCTGCATTATGAGTCCAGATACGATCGGATGGATCATCTTGTGAATTATCAGGAAAAGCAAACCCATTTTGCCACAAAAAAGCAGCATTCAGATGCCAGAAGTGTGATGTTGCACTTCACCCAAAAATGTGTTTTTTTAAGTTACCATACTAAAAAATAATCTATTATTATTGGTTTAAAATTTTTTTTTCGTTTCTAAATAAAGTTTTATAAGTTCATAAGAATATTGAGTTTTAGTACCTTATATTGCTACCGTACGTTTAAACCGACGGCTTTTTGCAGGAAAACCTAAAAGCGGAACTAAAAAATTTTACTAGAAAAATATGTTTATATTAACCCAATTAATAGGTTTACAAAAGTATATAACAAAAAACAAACAGTAAGAGTTTCTCGGGTATCTGGGTTAACAGAATAATTCAATTCAGAGTAAAAACCGAGGGGTGCTTGATATATTAAATGTTACAATCATTCTACTGGCAACTATCTATGAGAGGAGAGTTATGAAAATGTAGTGAAATGCGCTTTTTATTTTAAATTGAATTACTCTGTTAATAACTTCAATTTTACCATAATTTTATCTTGAGGTCATTAATTATGATTGATTGTTCGACCATCTACTACTGTAATATAAACTGTTTGTGATTAAAAAATATTTCCTACTTTTTAGTTCTGTTAGCTATAAAAGCGTGTTTTTTTAGTTTTTTAAAACTATTATTTATTTTATATGCATAAGAGATTCAAGATAAGGATCCTATGCATGGGGATCTCAATATCTGTGGGAGATTCGGCTAAGGTTAAACTAGGAAAAAGTTGCGTCCATTGGGTCGTATTTATGTACATGAAGTTGAGAAACTTGTAAGAATTTCATGGCTTTACTGAGGTATTTAGGAAAAACTAAAATTTCACCAAACTATTTATATTTTTTCTGACTTTATTTCAAAAGATATCAAGAAACTAATGAAACTTTTCCATTGGCACTTTTTAGGCACTACATGATGGTGTTTTTAAATCTTGTGTCCGACGGTTCCTCTTTGAGAAACCATCATTAACTTAATTTTGTATATGGTCCGAAAAATAAGTACGTCCTGTAGCTAATAGAATTTTTGACGTATATAACTGTCATCGAGTATTATTATTGTGTATTTTTAAAATTGATTTATTATCGTCAAAGATGCCAGGCGGTCATTTTAGCAATGAAGAAAAGTTCGACATGCTACAGTTTGTGCTACAAAAAACTAAAAATACTACAGAAATGTATCTTGATAAATTTCCAGAAAGAAGGCTGCCAAGTAAGTCCATTTTCTTAGAGTTGGCTTGAAATTTAAATGAATATGGTTTATTCAAAAAGTCTCTTCCTTCTAAAAAAAATAGGTCTTAGAGGAGACTCAGAATAGTGTTTTACAAACAGTTGCTGAGTATTCTGAGATATCAACTATGCAAATTGGGAAAATATAGGAGTAGCTAAATCCACAGCCCAATTTATATTGCTTAAAAACAGATATCACCACTATAAGTTCAAGATTTGCCAAGGACGTGGACGAGAGGATAGCGAACGGCGCCAGGATTTTTGGGAAGAATATTTAATCGCCGCAACACTCAGTACTGGACTCAAGAAAATTTGCGGGTATCCAGACATCAAGAACTTTTTGGGTGGGGAATTCTAGGGACCAAAATATTAGGTACCATTTATTTAACACAACTCATTAATTCCAGAACGGTACCTTCAATTATTGCAACACGATCTAGAGGACTGCTTGGATAATTTACCTTTGGCACAGGCTAATAGCTGTTAGTTTGAGCAAGACGGTGCTCTTATAAGGTAGATTGAACCCTCCAATGAAGTGTCCTGGCCAGCGGGCTCGCAGGATTTAACTCCGCTAGACTTTTTTGCTTGGGGTTTCATCAAATAACAAGTTTATTAGCATACTTTTGAGACTAAGCCGCACTTACGAGAATGTGTAATGGAAGCATTTAGCATGATTACACCAGAAATCGTACGTGATGTTTTAATCTCTACTGTTAGAAGATCATACTTTTGTTTAGAAAATAACGGCAACCTACTTGAACATCCATTGTGAATAAAATACGAATAATTTCAAAAATTTATTCTGAATATCAGTAGTTTAGGAATACTTAAATAAAATAAAACAAAAGTATACATTTTTCTTTATAGCTGATGCCGTATCGTCAGTCGTTCCTACTATTGAAGACAAGTGGATAAAGGTGTCGTATTGAGACATTTTACTTTATTAAATATTTAGTTTAATTACTTTGATATTATCATGTTTCTGCAACAAAGTAGTCATATAATGAAAGAATCACTCCTTCAGGTTAGTTAAATGCAAAAAAGCAATTTTAAAAAAATATTACGACACCTTTATCCACTTGTCTGTTCAATTCTAGGATGCCTTTATGGCGTCCTTGATTTTCATAGTTTTTCCTGTCTTTCAGAAAGGCGCTTTATTTTGAGGATATGTTATAAATATCTATTTGCACCAAATTGTTCATGCTTTTCATTTTTATCGTCTGGAGAGAAAATACTATGACAATCAAGGAGGAGTAAAGGCGTCCTACGATAATTGTAGGAACGGCTGACAATACGGCCCTTAGAAAACAAATGTGACATGTGATACATCGTTCAATTCGTAGAAAAAGGTGCCAATAAAAGTACCATTAGTTTATTGATATTTCTTAAAATAAAGTCCGAAAAAATAAAAACGATTTGGCCAAATTTTAATAAATACATATACAGAGTGTCCGGTAAATAGTACGACAAAAGAATAGGGACGATAGGCGAATGCCAGATCTACTACATACCAAAAAATGACGCAAGTAACAGTTTCACTGATTTTGTGATATTAAGTTTTTTGTCTCTCTTTTTTTAATCTATCTGTTGTTGCTGTGCCTAGAAGTAACAGGATATCTGTTTGTTTTTTTTTGGGCAAAATATTCTTAGATAGTTGGTCTGCCATTTAAAATATCATTACCGATAAATACAAGTAGGTAAACTTGACAAACAAATTTCTTCTTCGTAATTTTTATCTTAGAAAACTATTTTACTCTGCAATAAAATAAAAATGTAATAGACTGCTACTGCAAAGTACTGCGTTAAATTACCTTCATAATCAGTAACACAAGGTAGATCAAACGAGTAAATTTTTCGAAAAAGACCAAGAAAAAAACAATACCTCAAAAACAGTGAAACTTTTACTACGATCATTTTTTGGTATGTTGTAGATCTACCTTTCGCCTATCTTCCCCTTTTCTTGTCGTACTATTTACCGGACACCTTGTATACATACGCTCCAAAGAACGAAACTTTATCCTAATTGAACCTAAGCTGTATCTCCTACAGGTATTGAGATCCCTATGCATAGGATCCGTATCTTGGACATCCTGTATATAAATTTGAATGTCTGTCCTGGCATGCAAGTACATTATTAATTAATGTCCTGTATATAGGATTTCACACTTGTTTGATGGCTCCGGCTCTTGAGCTGTTTCAATTAGGCATCAGTCAAATCATATTAGCAAATTTTCCCGAAATAATTGTAAAGTAGGGTTTTATTGATGCAAGTTGTTCAAGGGGGTATTTAAAACATGGACGCATGAAATGACACGCCAATTTTTGTGGGAAAACCTTTGATTCGGCAACAAAAAATGAGAAAACGTGTTTTTTGGGATTCAATTGAAAGTGTTGGGAGGAACGAAAAAAATCTTCGAATAAGATTTTTATGACACCTACAAAATGAGACCACACGTAAAAAATCTGACTTACAGTAAAAAGGTTGTGGCCGAAAACCGAGGCAAAATGCAGGTTTTGGCACTTGTAGCTAATGCGACCATAATTTCAAGCAGCTACTCGAAATTCTTCAAATCTGAAGGCTTCTGACTTCTAAATAACCACAACAAAATTGGAGTCGTTTGGTCATGTTTTTCAGTTTCTAATTCTTTATCCCAAAACACCTTTTCTCCGGCCATCACTACTAGTTTACTGGGCCATATAGAGAGTTCGTTCAAAATAGCATTTTATAGCAAAGTACACGAATTTACCTTGCCGATGTGAATCACAAACCATTCCAAAAGATGATTGTTATTTTTATGTGAAGAACGAAGGGTTACGCTTTTTTCTTCTAGGCAAATTCAAACATTTCGTGAGTAACCGAAGAGATTCGCTACGATATTCGAAAAACATCATTATGCATATTTTAAAACAAATCGGATGTGTCTATCATCTTTTATTACGAAGAAATTTTTTTTTGTTAAAGATTCCTTCATACTCTTGTGTATACATATTTAGAGCTGAAATTTTTACATGGTCATAGATAAGCCCTAAAGCTTTTAAAAAAATATTCCATACTGAAATGCGCTGAACTGTTTATAAAGTTAGCACGCAAACTGAAGACAATTACATTTCAAACTGTCTTGGATTAGTTAGTATGTAGCATGTGCTAAATGGCTGCATTATTGATGACTGCATGCCTTTGTCAAATAAGTAGGTCACGTAATCCAATTTATTTACGAAGAGACATAATTCCAAAGACTTTTTTTCCTAGTTTTTCTGTTTCCTGAGCAAACGAAAAAACAGTAGAGAATTATCAACCAATTGTAGCGAACTGACTACATATTTAATTTAGCACATGCTATATATTAACTAGTCTAGCGCAGTTTGAAACATAATTGTGTCTTCAGTTTGCGTGCTAAATTTATGAACACTTCAGCGCATTTCAGTATACAATATTTTTTTATAAACCTTAGGGCTCATCTGTGACCATGTAAAAATTTAAGCTCTAAACATGTATACACAAGACTATGAAGAAATCTTGAAGAACAATTGTTTTCTTCGTATCAAAACGTAATAGTCATATCCGCTTTGTTTTAAAATGTGCATAATAACATATGTTTTTCGAGTATCGTAGCGAATCTGTTCAGTTAAATGTTTGAATTTGAATAGAAGAAAAAAAAAACGTAACCCTTCGTTTTTCGCATGAAAGTAGTAATTATCTTTCGGAATGGTTTTTGATTCACGTCGGCAAGGTAAATTCTTGTATTGGGCTATAAAATGCCCTTTGAGTGAACCCTGTATATTGCTCAGTAACCTAGTAGTTATGGACATAAGACAGGTGTTTTGGGACAAACAATTTTCAAAAAGTACTCGATCAATCGACTCTAATTTTGTTGAGGGTATTTAGAAGAATTTCAAGTAGCTGCGTGAAATTATCGTCGCATTAGCAACAAGTGCCAAAATCTGAATTTTGCCTCGGTTTTCCGCCATAAGTTTTTTACTATTAGAGGTATATTTTTAAGTGTGGTCTCATTCGGTAGGTACCATAAGTACATAAAAATCTTATTGAAAGAGTTTTTTCGTTCCTACCAACACTTTCGATTGAATCCCAAAAAACGGGTTTTCTTTGTTGTTTCCCAGAAAAATTTTATTTTGCAATCCAGCAGTATTTTCGTAATATGATTAGACTAATATTGGTCTCTTTAGCGGAACATCAACACTCATGCGTGGAAGGAAAAAGCGTTTCTCATCGTCCATTTTCGATTTACCAGAGCAGATTTATATCGAGCGTACATGGGTACAAAGCGCAACAACACCACAATATGATATCCGGCGCGTTTCATTTCGGATCCCCCTTCGACAAGCAGCTTTGTGCAACCGAAAACTCGAGTCCAGCCAAGCGAAACTGATGCTGAGGCAGCAGCCTTTTCGAAAGCATTGCTGCAGTCAGCTGCAAACGATGAATAATATCCTTATGAATCCGTAATGTACCCTGAAGTATGCTGTTCGAAGTTCCTATCAGATGGGAGCTATTAGATTGTCCCAAAGGGGACGCATTTGGTCATCTTCAACAATGTACAGGGTGAAAATTTGAAGTATACTTCATAAAAGGTTGTGTTAGAGATCATTTGCAACAAATACAAAGGGGACCGTATCTAGTATCTCGCCAGAATCGGCGGCATCTTCAGGCCACAGTGGCGACACGGCTGTCAAACATGAATTGGGATACACTTCCAATAGACCAGCGTGCTGTTTTCGTTATCGCAGTGATTGATTCTGGTAATAGATGCCACTTTGTGCTGTCTTACATCGATATACCTTATATGCTGGATAGATGATAGTTGTTCAGCATTTCCTTCGTTGTTCTACCTGAGACCAAGCCTAGACCATGCTGATGAGTTGTCAAAAAGCATGAAACAGCTATCTGCGGTTGGCCATCTGTGGTCGCTACACTACTAGTTCATTTGCAACAACTTAAACCCCCATAATTACAGGTGGAAATAAGCGGTTTCTGAGTTATCGACGTTTTAAGATTCTTCAAAATCTTGTGACATGTGACCGAAAAATAACTATTATGTTTTAGGTACTCAACTGATAGACTTTAAACTTTAGAAACAAATTCCTAACCCTTATTGTCAATACCGCATCTTTAGTGACAAGAGTTTATTTTCTGTTATTAGTCTCAAGACCAACCAGAATTGTTTGAAAAAATGTTTAGCAGTTGACGTCTAAGTTACGACGAAAATTAGAAGGGCATATGAGGTTTCCAAACAAGTACAAAAGTTATCAGTCTTCATGACAGTAAAAGTCAAAAAAAAAACTTAAAGCGTCGGTTACTCGGTAACCGCTTATTTTTGCACACTCTCGCGAATTTTTTGGAAATGACCTCTGGTATAACCATTTTCAAGGAATAGGTTGAATTTCTAGTCGCTATGTACTTCAACGGTAATTAATTTGGTTATAAATGCATATCCGCAAAATTCTTGATTGGTAAAGTTTTCCATTAGCAAGAATTAATTTTTGTTAAATTCTTGCAAACTTCGCAAATACGATAGCATGACTAAGACGATATGGAATGCAGCTACAAAAAACAATATCTGTTATCGTTTTTAAAGACAACAACACACAGGCGCCGGATATGGGTCCCTATATTCAAATGTTTTCTACTGTTACACTGAATAACCCCTACAAGTTTGATCCAATAGTTCTGAAACACCCTGTATTAATATGAATAATGAACTATTGTGCTTGTAAATCCTTCCTGAAGTTTATTCAGAAGTTTATTTGTAATGATTTATTTATCTGAGTCAAATATACTCACCTTCTCCTCTACAATCTGATGCACCACAAATGGACAAATAGCACCTGCAATGGTCCCAATTCCATTGGACATACCCATCAAGATACTAGCGTACCTTGGAGCAATATCCAGATGGTTGACGTTGAAGCCTGAAATGGCGAAACCACTGAAAGCTACGCCTATCGTCAGTGCAGTCATACCTTGCGTTATGGTGCTGGAGTAAGCCATTATTATGAAGAATGTGGCTTCCATGCCAAAGCCTGTGAAAAAATGATTCGTTTTTCAATAAGCGTTAGTAACGGTCTTTGATTTTTACTAGATTTCAATCATTTGAAGTGTTGTTCAGAAAGGTCCCCCTTACTTATTTTTTGTACGAGTCAATTTAAAAAGCTAAAACTCGAGGTGATGAAATTAGTGCATGAATAATAATTTTTACGTAAAAATAATAGTTGAAGACTTGAGCTGTGGGGCGCCATTTTGGAGCATTCTCTAAAAAGAAAGAGGTGTTATGTTACAGTTCACTCCAAAGCACCTTATGAGTACTTCAATACCGTAGAACATCAAATCATTAATGGCGGAATGACAGGCTGTCAAAGGTGTCCGTGTTTGTACATATAAATCGCTTATAACTCAACAACCTATTATGAAAACATTCCAGTGTGTTATTGCAATCTCTTTCTTTTCGAAGGGTCTAACTGAATATCCACTTCAAATAATATGACAGATTTGGAAAACTTTTTTGAATGCAATTAGATCCTTTCAAGAGAGGAATACCGCCATCTTGCCTTTTTTAAATATTATTTTTACGTTAAAATATAATAATAATGCGTCAGTCTCATCACCTTGAATTTCAGTCTGCAGACTTGACCTACTCAAAGATTAAATTGGGGAGACCTTTTTGGAAAGTGCCATATAATTTATGTAAAGGGTTGGCCATCAGTTATTTTTTTTATTATTATTTTAGATATAATACGTAAAAAATTCTACAGTCAATAAACTATGGAATTTGACAAAAGAAAATCATTAAAAAGAGTTTGGTCTAGGAATGGGCACTCTATAATCAATAAAGAGAAATTCAAATTACTCATAAGTGATCAAAACAGTAAAAAGAACGGTTACGTGATTTTAGCATGTGACAAAACGTCAAAGTGAGTGTTGCGTTACAGAAACTTTGCGAAAATTGAGAAGACTATTTGGTCGGAATGAAGCTCCGTACGCGACTGGTATACGAAAATTTGTAAAGAAGGTTCATGAAACTGGCCTGCTTGTGGATAAGAGAAGGTATGAGCGTGTTCGATCCGTACGTACAACCGAAAACATTGCTGCTGTTGCCCGGAGTGTGCGTGAAAACGCAAGAATGTCAACTCGTCACAGAGCACAACAAGTGGGCATCAGTCGCACTTCTGAATATTGTATAGCAACCTGGGACTATTTCCTTACAAGGTGCAACTTGTACAAGAGTTGAAACAAAATGACCATCCGCTTCGATATCGTTTCTCTGTGTGGGCTCTAAATCGGACGTCAATTTTGGTCTACAAATCATTTTTTCGGACGAAGCTTATTCCCATCTGGGAGGTTACGTTAATAAGCAGAAGTGTAGGATTAGGGGTTCTGGAAATCCACATGTCATCATAGAAAAACCAATACTTCCATAAAGAGTAACTGTTTGGTGTGGCTTTTGGAGTGGTGGGATTATCGATCCATACTTTTTGCAAGATGAAGATGGTAACAGCGTGACGGTAAGCGGGGAACGCTATAGAGACATGTTGAAAAGTTTTTTGTGGTCACTATTAGACGACATGCACTCGCACAATCTCTGGTTCCAGCACGATGGCGCAACATGCCACACCAGCCGTGAAACAATCGATCTTTTACACACTAAACTCGGTCATCCCGTTATCAGCCGTTTTGGAGACGTTCATTGGCCACCCCGAAGCTGTGATTTGACGTCCATGGATTACTTCCTATGGTGTACTGTTAAGGACTGCTGTTACACTAACGATCCTCAAACAATTGATGTCCTTAAGGAAAATATCCGTCGAGCTATTGATGAAATAGACCCACAAACAATCGAAAATGTGCTTCAAAATTGGGTTAAGAGGGTGGACTACTACGAGTCCTGCCGCGGCAACCATTTAGCTGAAATTGTTTTTCATAAACAATCGGAAGGGGTATCGAGTGTTACATATTATTGAAGAGTGTAGTTTTAATACCAATTTAAAAAAGAAACCAATGGATGGCCGACCCTTTATTATATCTTCTAAGACGAAACTCCGCAGCTCTAATAATTTTTTAAGAAAGTAGGGACGAATTTAGTTTAAACATCAATTTTGTGGAAGCAATCTCAATTATGACTAGTTTTCAGATATCCCAGTTGATCATATACAGGGTGTTTCCTCAGAAAGCGGACATAGTGAAATGGTAGGTTGAATGGACCGAGACCTTAGCAGATCTAAAAATAAAGAAAGTTCTAAATTCATATTATTATACAGGGATACTGGTAATTCGTCCCATTCCTTCTAGGTAGGGAAAGGGAACGTTCAATGCAACAAATTTTACTCTATATAAATATGTATTGTCAAGAATCGCTAGTTACCGGGATTTTTCATTTTTTGTTTTTTTACTATTACTCGAAATTGGGCATTTTGGTCTAAATCATAAAAAAACTATAGAAGAAATACGCAAGAATTTAATCAATTTTCGTTATTTGAGTTACAACTGTGAATGCTGGGCCTTTCGGCTCATTTTGTCTCAATTTACTGTGCTCTAAAGACTAAGCTGAAGTCAATTTTTTTTACTTTAATGAGTGGGCGTTTTTGCATACTTTATGGTTGAATTAGCCCAATTAAAGTATAAACGATGGACATTGAATTCTTACGCATTTACGGTGTAGTTTTTTAATTATTTAGACTCAACTGCTCAAGTGCGGGTGATTGTTGAAATATTACAAAAATAAAAAACATTTCAAAACTGATGCTTATAGAGTGAAATTTGTTAAATCTTAGGTCCCCTATCACGCCAAGATGGAATAAGGCGTGTTACCAGTAAATCTGAATTTATAAAATTTTCTCTATCTGCAAATAAAAGGACACAACTCTCGAAATATTTTTTCGCAATACTATATATCAATTTTGTATAAAAAAACATTGTTACTGAACGTCCAGGATACTTTGAATACTTCTAAAGACTTTTGGCAGTTCACTAGAGATTTTTTTTGATCTTAATGAAGTTAGGTAAGAATACTTGTTGGATACATGTGTGGTCCTAGTCGTCACCTGGGCGTCTACTACAATACTGGTGAACAAGTTATTCAACAGTCGACACAGACGATATATCGAATAGCATAAAAGTCTATGGAATATAGGTATTTTGCTAAGCATAGAATGGAACCTTCTCTTGCTGTACTACGATGGGGAAAATATACTGACAGAGGAAGACCTATTCTATGACCAGCAAGCGCTTCCTAAGAGGATATTAGAAAAGTATTCGCACCTCCACAATTGAAGAGTTTCCTGACTTGTGTCGTGGTTAAGATCCCCTTTTTCCGTATTCTGTCAGCCAGAATACCACCTGTTGGTACCACGATAGTCATCAGCAGATGAGGAAGTGCACCTAAGAACGCATTCTAAAACAAAAATATGTTTGTCCTGTATTATCCAAGTTTTATACTAAGCATTTTTGTTCGACAAATTCTTGTGGTTACATTCCCTCGGCTTGGATAATAATGTCCCAAGTACTTTAAAGCGGAATGTCATATACTAACTTTTTCAAATTCCAAGCTTAACATTAGATGGTTCGCTAAAATATAGCTTATTTGTTTGATCAATTGAACATAGATTTGAAAACTTCCCACCACGGATTCATCAAAAACCACTAATTAAAAGAAAAAACGCCGAGAGGGGGACAACTTTTTAACCATAAATTACTTCATCCCCTTTCATCCTCTACCGCCCAGGGTCATCCCCTTAAAAATTGTAAATGACAAAAGGTATCAAGTAACAGCTTGTTTGAAGGGTATTTCGAAGTCCTTTATTTTGATATTTGATTTCTTGAAATCGGTCGATTCGTTTTGAAAAAAAAAATAGAAAAATCTTTATTTATCTTAATTTTTTCAGAAAACAAAACCCACGAAAATATCACTTTTTATTTCAATAAGTATTCAAAATGTTGCCAGTTATTGGCCAATTGATAATATAGCCGATGTTCAAATTCCTGACAGACATTTTCAAAAACATGTTGTGGGATATCATGGCAGATTTCGATGCATTAACGAAGTTCACCCAAACTTTTCAGGGAGTAAAGATAATACACTTTAAATGGCACCATAGAAAAAAGTCTACTGCCGTCAAATCAGGAGATGTAGCAGGCCATTCTATAGGCCCTCTTCGCCCTATCCATTTACCTGGAAACTCGTCGTCTAGCCATTGATGAACCGGAAGAACATAGTGAGGAGGAGCGCCGTCTTGCTGGAAATATATTTCAGCGTCATCAAGTATAGGGTTTCCATCCTCTTTGATTGGGTTTTTAATGATTTCAGTGATAAACCGATTGATGGTATTTTCCAACATATCCAAATAAATGTCTCCATTCAATATTTCCATTTTGAATGGATGAAAAGTATGGAGTTCATTAACTGTGTGTACAGAGCTTAATGAAATACCAGTCGCTGCAACAATTTTACGTAATCAAGTATTAGGATTTATTCCAAAATGACCCAAAGCTTCAACTTGAGCAGCTTCATCCAAAATTCTCCGATGATCACGCTTTTTATTTGCAACAGATGCAGTTTGAGTAAATTTAGTAACAAGGTCCAAAACATACCTATGCGAAATTATCTTCCCCGTGTATCTAGCGTTATCGGTGGAGACACACATTACATTGATTTTGGGCACTATACATTAAAATAAATCATTTCCACTCTTTCGGCTAGTGTGTATACCATTGCGGGAGTAAATCTGAATCAATAAATTAATTTTCACTATCCTAAGATTGTCACAGAAAATTAAATTCTTTCTGTTCCTTAGCAACAAATAACTAAACAGGTATAACAACAATTACAGTTCGCCCAGGATATCTGTGTTGATGAAAAGAATGCGAAAAAAACGGGGTTGTTATTTTGTCGTTGTCACGTCTACTAATCTTCCGAATTGCTGTTTATTTGGTAGTTTCCGTTTTAAATTATAAACGAATTGTAGATTTGGCAAACCCTGACGGGCAAGATTTTGAACACTTATTGAAATAAAAAGCGATATTTTTGTGTGTTTTTGTTTTCTATCTGTACAAATTAAGATAAAGATTTTTTTAATTTTCTCGAAAACGACTTGACAGATTTAAAAAAATCAAACGTCAAAACAAAGGACTTCGAAAAGCCTTTCAAGCAAGCTATTACTCGATACCCCTTGGCTGCCCCCCAAAGGAGGTGAAATAGTTATTGGTTAAAAAGTTGACCCCCTTGAGAAATTTTTATGTGTCCGGCGTTTTTTCTTTTAATCAGTGGGTTTCGATAAATCCGTGGTGGGAAGTTTTCAAATGAACACTGTATCGATATAGGTACGTCTCCCGCATTTATCTGGTATAAATAAAGTGATGAGTCTTATGAAGTCCTATTAACAAAATATACATGTATATAAATCAGATACAAATGAATAAACTAGGTATTTAAGACCGTAGGTAGGGATTCATCAAGTCACGTAGCTTGATAGCTTTATAAACAACTTGATTTGACTTGAAAATAAATTTACTTGAAACGACCTTGCTTGACTCGACTTCAATTTTTCAGTGGTCTTATTATCTTCTTTAATATACCTGATACTTTATGGTAAATTACATTTTTGTGTTATTATCAACCTTCAATTATATTGATTTGTACAACAGATGAGCCATATTTTGTACTTTGCACTATGTACACTGACAAAATGTTTTCTTATTTAATTCATTAACATATCAATTATATATTTTACTCACCTCTGTCATGGTGGAATTGAAAGCATCCTTGAAATATGAGGCCTGGAAAAGTACCAACAAATAAAAGTTCCATGACCTGCAGAAATTGGCTACGAAAATTGCGTAGCATGGCAACGAAGTGAAGAAGGCCTTCCAAGGAGTGTTGGTCAACGTTGGAGTTACGTAGTGTTGCTGAGTGCCGCCCAAGGATGACTCGATGAAGTTGAGCTCCTTGGTGTCGATGCAGGTGTGATATGAGGGCTTTTCGAAGACCAACCACAGCCAAGCCAAATACCTGTGAATTAATTTTATTGAATGATTTTAAATGTCTCTTCATATGAAGATCATAGTAAGAACTGCTCAAAATTAACTACTTGAATTTTTGTGGCAAATAGTTGAAAGGTCTTACGTATAAATTTGTTGTTTTCGGTAAAATATTGGTGAAGCTTTGATCTCTTTTAATTTGATTTATTTTTGGTGTGGCTGGGAGGAATGGTACAAAACCTTTTCTATCCATTTTTAGCCATTAAATCCGGAACTCTATAGTAATAATATACTTAGATATTTGAGTTAAGTGAGAAAATTATTAGATATGCCTTTTTAGTCAAATAGTGGAATTCAGTTCGGCATGGTAAAAACAACATAAAACGACATATTTATAGGAAAAAGTGATTCAAATGATATAAGTCTAACTAGTGCAAGACATGCCAACATATCAATTATGATGAGAAGGGCATAAGTTTATACAGGGTGTCCAAAATGTACCACGACAAACTTAAAAAATTAAAAATAACAAAAACTTACCTATATAAAAATGTCACCGTTTTTGAGATATTGAATTTTATCTTGAATTTAAAAAAAACGAACCGTTTCATCTGTGGTCTTTAGCTGCATGTACAAATAAGGTTATACTTTGTTCATATTTTCTTTAAAAAAATGTAGTTAAAGGATATTAAGGAACCGTCTGATATTTTTTCCTCAACTTTGACCATCTGTGGTGAAACAAAAATGTACTGGGCTTAACTGCATTATATTGAATAAAAAGATTACTTACTAAATACAGATTTCAGAAAGGCATCACACGTACTATTTAGAATAGAAAAAAGTGATAGCTGCTCTTGTAAGTGATTGACACACACTACAATGTAATTGTTGGATTTAAATTTAAGCTGTACTGGTTACCGATCAGTGACATGCTAAATAGTACAAAGCTACATTATTATTACCTTCTCCTGATATGATTTTATGAGAGCTGAGGAAACAATATCAGAAGGTTATAAATCCCAAAACAGTCCTTATTTTATCATGGTTCCTTAATACCTTTAACTACATTGCATTTGTATATGATAAAGCAACTATCTAGAAGTATTTTATAAAAAAAATGAACAAAGTATAACCTTATTTGTACATGCAGCTAAATACCACAAATGAAAAGGTTCGTTTTTTTAAATTTAAGAGCAATTTCAAAAACGGTGGCACTTTTATATAGGTTCGCGTCTGTTATTTGGGAGGTCAGTCCTAAGCCTACTTTCTTTTTAAGTCGTGGTACTTATTGGAGACCCTGTATATTTTCATTCAATTTCTGTAGTTTACTGCAGTTAAAAGAGTTTAAGTGAACATGTTCTTCTGTATTTTTGCAGTTTTGTGGTACTTTGGGTATAAGTAAACATATTTTGATAAGGATTTAACAAGTTTCATTAAAAGGAAAATTTTGTTTTATAAATATAGTTCAAAGTACAGTCATTTATTTTAACTGCTTGTAGGACTCGTCAAAAGGAGTTGATATGATAAAAATTGCATAATAAAAGAAAAAGTAAGAGATTAAAATTTAAAAAAAATAATGTCATTACACAGATTCTTTGATATTCTCGACCACTGCCGTGTAAACCCTTTAGCATTTTTTGTTTACTACTCTCATCGTTTATCTAAATTTGGAAAAAAATATTGTATCGTTTTCAGTTCTAGCCTTTAATTCGATCAGTTGTATCAGTCTCTTAATAGTGCGTGTACTTTCATTTGACTGACTATTTTGTGCGAAAAAATGGCACATGCTCACGAAAACGAACTACTGGACATAATACTAGAATACAGAGAGTCCCAACAAAATGCAGCCGCAGCATGCAGGTTCTATGCGTAAAGGTTTCCTTTAAGAAATCATACGGCCCCACGGATGTTTGTAAATTTAGTTACTTTGTGACACAGGATATTCAAAAGAGCAGCGAGGAGGTCACGCTCGAAGACCTGCTTATCCTGAAATATTACAAATAAGGAAAACATTTTAGAAATGGTCGAAGATGACCCAACAATGAGTACTAGAGCCATAGCAGCTCAAGTTGAAGTTTCTCATAGTACCTAATGTGTGAAAGACAATACAACAAGAACAGATCCTTATTATTTTACCAACGGGTAGAAGCGTTAAAACCTGAAGATAATCCTAGAAGAGTTGCATTTAGCCAGTGGCTTTTACTTCAGTTCGGCAGAAATGAAGATTTTAGGGAATTAATTTTGTGTACAGATGAGGCCAAATTTACACGAACTGGACTGCACAATTTCCACAACAATCATGTTTGGGGAGTAGAAAAATCTATGTAGAAAAAAGGTAACTCATTTTTAACATAGATTTTTTGCCTTACAGGTGATTTTTGATAAGTATCTGAAGGCTGTGACCGAATTTATATATTTCTTTATTTCATCAATCTTCGATTGCGGCGTTTTGTGGGGAGGTGAGATTTTTCCCTCTCAAGTCCTCTTGGGTAATTCCGCTAGTCGACGATACACGTGTGAAGACTATAAACATCATCTACTTCGGTTTAGGTTAAGTCCAACTGAAAAGCGAGGGAAATATCAGCTTAGTCAGTTAGAAGCGAATTTAAAACCATATTTCTTTTATTAAGAAAGCTATAAGCATTACGGTGCCTAATACATGGATGGCCTAGGTGGGCATAAGTCCTATTAGTTTGAACTATTTATCATTCGATGTTTAGTTGGAACTGGTGACGTTGACTTATGTCGGTAGTATCTATCTTTTCGAGATGGCATCTGCACTTACTCCTGTGATAGTGAATGTACAAGTAACTATTATATAAATCAACTTGCGCCTTTTTAACCAAGGAGATTAAGCAAATTTGATCCTAGCCTCAATTTTGATTCTGATTTCAATGGCCTTTTCTTCATATATATTTACTTATATAATTTTACTGAATTGTTCTTAAAAGCTTCCTCTCAACGAATGCGTAAAAATGTCATAAGTCGAAAAAAATGACTTATACCCTTTCAACTATCTGCCACAGATTTTAAATATGCAAGAATATCATGGAAATGATTATCTGTTTCGTAAAGAATGGTGTTGAGTAGGTTGAGCCTCTCGCTAACAATTGGACATTCAAATACTTGTTGGGTGTTAGATAGGAGCTTTCAATTGTTAAGCAAGAATTGATTGTTTCTTATCTTGAATTACAGATACAGGGATAAGAAAAGCTTTGTGAACTTTTTAACTGGTTAGAATTACAATATTCGTCTATATCCAAATTGGTTGATGATCTAGTTCCACGGTACCCAATGGGTGTTTAGGCCTCAGGCCTTCGTGGTAGCTGGAGTATATAAAAAAAATCTCCAAAAAGTTTTCAAACTACTCGTAATAACATTACTCAGTCAATCTTTAATGTGTAAAATAATGATTCTCAGCAAGTCTGATAGAATCATGGACACTTGCAGGGGAGGTGGAAGTAGGGGGATCTCCCTTCGGAGAAGCAAGTTGACACTCTTAAAGCTTGCATATTTAGCATGTCTTTTTGGGCTTGTATCATGCCGCCCTCTATTCCAAAAGTTTTTAGGGATGATACACCTTCACAAGAAAGTGTCCTCTCCCCGCCCGAGAAAAGATCCTGTCGGCGCATGCGTCTTTTGCACAGATTTAGTCATTTCTTATTTAATAGATATTGTTTATTATTTTTAATATGAGATCATAAGCGCAAAATATACAGGGTGACCTAACGAAGTGATCGCACCCCAATTTGTAACTCTCCTGGTACATTTTGGGAAAAATGCTTAGACGTGTTTTCATCCATAGCCGTACAATACAGGGTGATCTAAACATAAGATATGCGTTACACTTTAGATTTTTAAATGGAAACCTTTTTTCTTCCTGTTTTTATTAACTTTTGTATAATAAAGTTTATACCTATCTTCAATCGATGTGAAGCTATTTGTTATTGTGATAATAAGGGATTATACCGTAAGAAATAGTGAATATAGTTCACATAGTAACAAGTCTTAAATGTATGAAATTAAAAACAAATATCCGAGTATTAATAAAACAACTTTGCCTAAAGAGTTAGGTCAATGTGGTAATAAATGCTTGAAGTGGTGCCCATTTACCTCCATGCAATAATAAAGATTTTGTTGGAATCTATTCATCACATTTTCAAGCATGTCTTGAGTTATTTGTCTACATTCAGCCGTAATCCGCTGATGAAGATCTTGAATGGAACCTGGCTTCGTACTAAAAACTTTATTTTTGAAATGCCTACAAAGAAAGTAATCTAAAGGACTCCGGTCCGGATATCTCGGCGGCCACTGGATGGGCCTCGTCTGCTCATCCACTAATTCGAGAAATTGGTGTTTAAAAACTGTCGTACTGGAGCCACATAGTGCGGCGGTGCTCCATCTTTTTGGAAATGAATGTAATTTTCATTATAATTAACGTAACTTTCTATTATTTCGGCAATTTGTGGTGCCATTGTATTTCATAACATGTCCAAGTACGTCTCGCGCATCAAGTTTCCAGGAATAAAAAAAGGTCCTACATATATGATTTCCGAAAATGCTGGCCCAGAAATTTATTTATTTAGGATATTGTAAGTGTACCTCTCGGAACAAATGTGGATTCGAGTCACTCCCATATAGACAATTATGTCTATTTACAGCACCATGTAAATAAAACGTGCACTCATCCGAAAAACAAATATTAAACGTTGGGACAATAATTAGCAAAAATTCAATATTCTATCAAAATCGTCTTCATTAAGCTCATGGACAATTTTTATCTTATACGGGTGAAATTTATTGTCTTTCAAAATTCTTTGTACTGTTGAGCGTGTAAATCCTGAAGAACTAGCCAGTCCACGAGTGCTTTGGGTGTTGCCAAGTGCTACGTGTCACAATACTATTTCTGCGGCTTCTTGTCTAACTGGTCGATTTTCTTGATGGCGATTACGGCAAATATTAGACACACGTATAGTGTCTTCAAATTTGCTTATCAACTTAGCCACATACTTATCGTTAAAATTTTTTTCCGGATGTAACGCATTAAATAATCGGGTAGTAGCACTTGCAATGCTCCCATTTTTCTAATCCGGTTTTATTATATCAACCCTTTCTTGAAAAAATAAGTCATTGTTCATGGAAAACCTAAAAATAAAAAAAGAGGGTTTTCATTTAAAAATCTAAAGTGTAACGCAATACTTAATTTTTGGATCACACTGTACTGAACGGCTATAGATGAAAAGGCGTCTCCCTAGAAATCAAAATTGACGTGTTCGAGCGTTTTTCCCAAAATATACCAGGAGAGCCACAAATGGTGGTGCGGACATTTCGTTGGGCCACTCTGTATATATTATCAGTTTATGCTAAATTATTTTTTTTCTGTCTTTTGTACTCCTAAAGTGTATTATTTCGATGAATGATCCAACTTTCATGTCTACCAAATAAACATGGATGATTATATCCTACCAAAATATCCCAACGGACCCATAAAAATAAAAAGGCGCCAGCGGTCCGTAGTGTTCTATAAGCTCTCCGGAAATGGGCATAGAGAACATAACTCCTGCGTAACATCCGCTGAACGCCAGCGTTGCCAATTTGCTTCTCTCCAACGGAGGAGCCCAATGACGCATGATGCCATGACAAGCTGGATATGTGACACCCTGTAAACGAAAATAATATTAATTTTTAATGAAAAGATATGCAAAATGAAGAAAAGCTCAATGAATACGGCACAATACATGTAGAAGAGGAGACAGTGGAATGGGCACAAATTTCCATAACGGACAGTTTTGAAGCTATCCCAAGTCAAAGTGGAATATCGGAATGTTGTCTGTCTAACTTGATCATGCAGCTGCAAGGTCAGTAGGGTGTCCCAAAAAAGTGAAAGTCCTTTTTTTAAAATGCATATCCTATATTTTTTCCATTTGACTCTAACAACTCAAATAAATAATAGAAAAACTAAAAAAACACGCTTTTATAGTTAACCGAAGTAAAAAGTAGAAAATATTTTTTAATTACAAAGTGTTTATTTAACAATAGTAGATGGTCGAATAATCAATCATAATTAATGACCTCAAAATCAAATTATAAGTTATTAAAAGAATAATTCAATCCAGAGTAAAAAGCGTGCAGCATTTTTTGATAACTCTCCTTTCATAGATAGTTGCCAACAGAATGATTGTAACATTTAATATATCAAGCACCCTACGCTTTTTACTCTGAATTGAATTATGCTGTTAATAACTTAAATTTTATTATACTTTTATTTTGAGGTCATTAATTATGATTGATTGTTCGACCATCTACTACTGTAATATAAACTCTTTGTAATTAAAAATGATTTTCTGCTGTTTAGTTTGGTTAGCTATAAAAGCGTGTATTTTTTTAGTTTTATTTTAAACTATTATTTATTTTTCTTTTTTTAGTTCCATTTATCAATTATTTTTTTGTGGACATGTGGTATTGGAATGTCTTATGAATCATTTCGTAATCTAATCATTTCATTCAAAGTTCCACTGTTGCATGGGGTTTCCTGTTAACTCAGAGCAATAAAGTTCTTCAATCCGAATATCATTTAAGGATCTTACACGACTAAGTGCTACGTAAGCCTGTCCAGCAACAAACAGTCGCAAGCCTAGATAAATGACTGCGTAATCGCAATTAACAACGTAAGGATGCACTACCTTGAAAAAGTATCTGCCTCCGTTGTGGTGTGCCGAATGACCGAATCAACAAAGAAGCTGCAAGCATGCGCATATCGCGCGCTAGCTCTATCTCTCTTACTAACTACAGACGATCTATAAAAGAATTCGTCAATACTGGCAGACCTAATAAGGATAATGGAAAACGATTATCAGATTATTGCATTGTCATCGGTCCTTGATACGTGTGCGAAGTTTCAGATTGATCAAACTTCTGGAAATTATGCTCAAAGATTCCGAAATAAATATTATTCGACAAATAAGACACTGCTTTATTTGTGTCTTACATTTCTTAGATATTTATCAATGAAAGAACACTATTTACCAAATTTTCTTTTCAAAGTTTTCTCAGATAAGGGATATCAAGGTCTCTGTGAAGGCTCTTATTGGAGACATACCATGGATTGTACACAAGGTTCTGTTCCGCAAGACCTGCAGACGGCCCAAATTCGTTGTGGAAAACACCAAGCTGCACTTGCGTAAGTGATCACTGATGTAATAACAATCTTGTATAGCCGACCTTTATTGATCAAAGTTAATTTTGAAGTTCTACATAGCATAGGGTAGAGTTGCCCAAACGTGATTTGGAATTTAGTCGAGTCTGACACCCTTAACAGAACTTTCCCATGGTACCCGAGCTTCGTTCTCTGAAATCTCAGACGCTGCAGTTTTTTTAGTACAATAGCCATCGATCCGCTCATTCCAATACCTCGTCCACCGCACTTTGCAGCCTGTCGTGAACGAGATTCTCCGAACACGACTGGGCCACCAGGGCAGTATCATCGGCATAGATAAATATCTCACAGTTGCTGGCGCAAGGGGCATCATGAATAAAAAGTAAATAAGGGATTGGTCCAAGAACCGAACCCTGAGGTGATGGGCCGTGTTGTCAACAGAACGTTATTAATCTTGATTCGAAATTTCCTACCCTCAAGGAAGCATGTCAGCATTTTTAGGAGCCAGTTATTTTTTTTATATCGAAGAAGCCGCGCAGGCAGAAGCTTAAATGTCGGGACTGGGAAAAGCTTTCTTTTGTAGATTGACACCATCGGGACAAAGGAGCGGTCGTATCGGCTAGTTCTGAATGTACGAAGTTCGACACGGCCAGGATATGAGGCCAAAGATAGGTAGGACTATCTGGCAGGCATAAAATCGTCTTCAGATATACCAGAAGGCGACAATACAGCTTTATCGACTATTCATTTGATTATTTGTTGGAATAAAAATAATTGCCACATGCTCCAAACTCCTAACCCCATTGTCTGATACTTCCAAACATCCCCTAATTGGATCGAGGTTCAACAGTTCTAAGTTTTCGTTATCAGTTTTGTACATTATGTTCGCCATATACAGGGTGTTTCAGTTTATTGTTGATTAACTTTAAGCTTCGATAGAACTTTTAAAATTAATGCATAAAGTCTATATAAACATGGGTCAAAAAATGCGTGGCTTCCGAAATACAGGGTGTTTAAATTTACTCTCTAAAATAGTTTTTTTTTAAATATTTCGAATAACATTTGATTATTTGATGTATAACAGTAAAAATTGGTATACAAGGGTTTTTTGGTACGACAAAACGAACCATGGGCATAGTTTTACTGTAGCCGCTAGAGGGCGCTCTCTACTGTACCTGTAGTGTATCAAAATGACCGAAAATTTTTTCTGACTTCAATTTTTTGCTTTTTGAATAAAAAAACTGATTCTTCGCACTTTTCAACATAAAAAGCTCTCTTGTGAATTTTCGTTATAGTTATCCGTTTTTGAGATATTTCGATTTTTAAGGTTCGATGCATTTTTAACTATTTATGATAAAATAACGTTAAAAAGTCAGTATCTCGATAATTTTTAGAAGAAGGCTGTGCCTGCGAATATTTTTGAAATTGAAAGCAGAATAAGGTTAAACGTCAATTATTTGACAGTTAGCTTTGTTGTCTGTTGAAACCTGAAACGTTTTTTTGCAATTGTGAATGCACTAAATTTAGTTTCTTTTACCTGTTTTTTTTTAGTAAATTTTAAAAAAATGCCATTTTTATTCTCCAATCAAGAGTTAGCGGATATTCATTTTGTCTATTTGATATGATTTCCAAACAGACGACATCCAACTCGCTCAGTATTTGTAAGAGTGCATCGCCAAATAATTGAAAATGGTTTTGGAAATCTCCAAAGGGATCAAAACATAAATGTTCGTCAGCGCAGATTTACCCGTATGACAATGCGTGAGTTTGATCGAGATCCGACCACAAGTGCTAGGAGAGTTTCTGGTGCCTTGGCAATTTCAGCAAGCCATGTTCACCGTGTTCTTAGAAATGACCATATACGTCCTTACCATTTGCAACCTGTGCAAGGACTACAGCCAGGGGACGGAGAACGAAGAATCACATTTTGTCAGTGGATTCTTGATAGAACTGATAATAATAGGGAGTTTTTAAGAAACGTTTTATGGACCGATGAGTCATGCTTCACTAGACGTGGAGTGGTAAATTTTCATAATCAACATATTTGGTCGCATGAAAATCCGCATGCAGTTCGGAAAAGAATTTTTCAGCATGAATTTAGTGTGAACGTGTGGATTGGTATCTACCGTAATCGACTATTTGGACCCTACCTTTTGCCTGCAAGGTTAAATGCTGCGACTTTCTTGGAATTTTTAAAGGCTGAACATGCAAATATGTGGGATGATGTTGTTAGATTTAAGAAGATTGGCCTGGTTCCAGCTTGATCGTTGTCCAGCTAATTATTCGAGAATAGTTAGAAAGTGGCTGGACGAAAATTATCCAGAAAGATGGATCAGTCGCCTGGCCTCCACGATCCCCTGACCTAAATCCATTAGATTTCTAAAAGAAAAAGTGTACCAGACTCCCGTAACCACAAGAGATATGCTAATAGACAAAATCAGGAATGCATGTGATGAAATAAGGCCTTATTTGAATAATGCTATACCACGTTCGATCATTCGTAGATGTGAATTGTGTATTGAACAATTGGGTTTACATTTCGAGCAACTACTTTAGATTTTGTATGTTTGTCCTAACTATCCAATAGCATTTTAGTTGTAAATAATTAATTTAGTTTGTTAAAAATCATATTGGAAAATTAAACAAATTAATATTCTGTATTTTTGTGTTTATTTGGAGTTAGGAATTATTGCTGTGTTTAAAAACACAATCTAAACGATCATCTCAATTACTTCTAATGCCCAAATCGAAAATGTAAAAAAAAAATTATTTTCCCATAAATAATTGAAAATGCATCGAATCTTAAAAATCGAAATATCTCAAAAACGGCTAACTATAACGAAAACTTACAAGAAAGCTTTTTTATGTTGAAAAGTGCGAAGAATCAGTTTTTTTATTCAAAAAGCAAAAAATTGCACTAAGAAAAAATTTCCGGTCATTTTAATACACTACAGGTACAGTAGAGAGCGCCCTCTAGCGGCTACAGTAAAACTATGCATACGGTTCGTTTTGTCGTACCAAGGAACCCTTGTATACCAATTTTCACTATTATACATCAAACATTGTTAGAAATATTTAAAAAAAACTATTTTAAAAAGTAAATTTAAACACCCTGTATTTCGGAAGCCACGCATTTTTCGACCGATGTTTATATAGACTTTGTGCATTAATTTTAAAAGTTCTAACGAATCTTAAAGTTATGCAACAATAAACTGAATCACCCGTATAAATTATTAAAATCAGATGAACATACGTATGTCACTCAGAATATATATATCTTCTGATTTTCAATAAACTTTACGAAAGATTCAATGAAAATCTAGATATTGAGCTTTAACCTCATCGTAAATAACTTTGTAAACGTTACCTCAACCAATCCCTGCATAACCTTGATGGATATGAGCGCGTTCGGTTGCGTGTATACGAAAGGGATGATCAGATTGAGTAAGCAGGAGGATCCAATGGCTGCTCCAAAAAGCCGGTTGGCCGGATAAGCCGCAGCGATTAGACCGCCTGGGATCTGGGTGACGAAGTAGCCCCAGAAGATAGCCGCATCCACTTCCGATAGGGTTTTCGTATCCCAGGTGGTGTTTGTCTGGAAACGAGATGGTTATGTTTATACACATTTTTTTAGGCTAGGGTGCTCTCCATCTATTACTTGGTGTAACCCTTCCATCATGCGATCGAATATACCAAATTTGATGTACAAGTGTCACATTAAAACACTGGACTTAACGAGATTCACTTTTTATTTTAGCATGATGAAGTTTTGCAAATAGAAAGTGAAACGCTTAACGAGTTTTCCAGTGATTAAAATTAATTATTAAAATCAAGTTGTAAGTCGAATACCTCAGTATTCCATATTATGCAGATTCATATAAAAACGAGGGTAAATACAAATTAATTGTCTCCTGTTTACTTAAGGGTACACAAAGTATTTATTTCCAATAATTGGCTTTCATATGGTTCGAAAAAACTATACTCTGTATCTGATCTGATCTTTTTCTACCATAAACAAATAAGTCAAGAGGTGTTAAATATCGGGAACGCGCTGGCTACTACCTTTTTTTAGCCCGCTGATTTTTCTTGTGCCCAGTAATGAATGTTGCGACGATTAAAGATATCATTACGAGTATTAGCGACCACACTCTCGTAAGAACATGTTATTTTTAATGGGAAATTGAAATATTCTCACGTTTGTGTGTACCTTTCACAAAAATGCTGTCGCAGTTCGCTATCACCTGATCTAAGTCTTGGCAAATCCTGTATAGTATAGTATACTCTGTATACATATTATTATTGTAAACTGTTAGAAAATGTTAGGTATCGCAAATAATACAGGTCGCCGGAAATGCTGCGGTCAGCAGAACAATCACCTCGCAATACCTAGCAACAAAGATTTATAATAGAATAAAGTTAACCATAAATGAATTAAGGTGTTTTACACAAGAATTGTAAATCTATTACATGACGATCCTGCCAGCTTATTGCTTGTAAGGTGCTAAGATCTATGTCAGGTGACTCAACTTTTTCAGAGTTGAACTCCAGACAAGATCGAAGTCTCTTCAAGACCTAGCTTCATTGTTTGAGATCGTACACAAAAATACTTTGCTTTTTGCGATTACTGAAGAATTGAAATGAGTTACATCCAAGTTTACTGATTTTTATGATGAGGTCTCTGAAACAGAATTACTTTTGGAGATACAAAGACTCCGAAGGCACTTAAAAGTCGCTAATGTTACAGTTTCTGATTTGGTATATCTATATTTTTTAAAGTTTATGGTAGAATGGGATTTTACAGAATCTCTTCCAAATCTTATGATTGCACTAAAATTGTTCATGATGGTTTGCCTGTCTGTAGCTTCATGTGAAAGGAGTGTGAACTAAAATTAATAAAAAACTATTTTTGGGCAACAATAACCTAATCGCGGCTTACCAATCTTGGTATATTAGCCATCGAACACGAGGCAATACAAAATATGAATTTTTATGAAGTCATTTCTGAGTTTGAAGCTGTCAAAGCTAGTAAGAAGAGATTTGAATTATAAAATAACAATATTTTTTTAGTTTTTATTGTGTTTTGTTATTTGCTCAATATTTCAACGTTTACAAATCATATAAAATTTATTGCTTTTGCCTTTGGATGGGGAGACACCACCAACTTCCGCAATGGGTACCACCCAAGGTAGCTACGCCACTGGTCTAGATGAAGAATTGTATTTTCTTTCGCTTGAATGGAAGAGCGGATCTTTCTACACGGAAGTAAGATCCGTATTCTGCCGTTTGTCAGGAAATCAGCTAGAATTTGTTTAGGTTATATGTAATTTTTTGTGTGTGCTTATCTTGGCAATAAAAACCATTTCTTATTATTATTATTATTACTTTTGGTTGGTCTTCCACGGTTACACATGGGGTATGTACACAATAGAGGGGGAATTCACCACAGCCTATTGCGAAGAACTATGTGATGTTTGCACTATTGCGGCTTTCTGCATCTATGCAATAAAATGCGCTGGAACTTTATTATCTCTAAGTGTGAGTAGGGATTTACAGAGATTATCCCTTCCACAGACACTACGACTGGTATTATGCGTGTCTCAGATAGTTTCCAAATATTTTTGATTTCGATGCAAAGTTTTGATAGCTTGCAGCCTTGGTGTATTCGGTTTTAATTATATTTGCTGTGAGTGGCACTGCGATGTCGATTATGTATGCTTTCCGTTCATTTATATCAATCAGTAGTATGTCTGGCCGGTTATAGTCAACTGCCTTATCGGTTTTGACTGGTCTGTCTAAGTATAATAGGGCGTACTGGCTCTCGAGTACTGGATATGGTGTATATTTATAATATGACGCGGTCATTAAATCCGAATTATCCGAAACAGATCGCATACAATAATTTCTTCGCTTTAACTGAAGTTGCTAGGGAAATCGGCGCATGATCCGAAAGAGCCGCCGCTAGTTCCCCTTTCGGCGTTTTCGTCATTAGATTCCTTGGCGGTGATTCCCCAAGCGCGTTTGCGGAATTCACTGGTATGTGTGCGTGTATGTTTTGTTCCAGTCAGGTTCATAATCGCTAAGATGGAGCAGCATAGAAATAAACGTAAACACGTTGTTATTACCATAGAACAGAAACTTGAGGCAATCAGACGTTTAGATAGAGGTGATTTGTTTAAAAACGTCGCAAGTGATTTGGGTGCGGGCGTGAGTACCATTTCATAACGGAAAATAACAGCGTGAGAAAATTGAAAAGTGGTCTAGTATTCTGACATCATCGCAGCCGTCATGGCAAACTATGAAAAAGAGGGAATATCAAAAAGTGGATGATGCTTTATATATGTGGTTTACACAGAATCGAGACCGTGCAATACTTATTTCCGGACCTATTCTAAAGCAAAAGACAGTCAACTTAAGTAAAGAATTGCCAGTTATTGAGGCGCCTGATAAATTTACAGTCAGTGATGGTTGGCTGCATAGATGGAAAAAAGGACACGGTATACGAGAACTAGAAGTTTAAGGAGAATAGTTATCTGCCGATAAGTCCGCTGCATGAAAATTTGGAGAACATTTTAAAGAATTTATGAAGCAGTATGGTTTAAATCCAGAAAAAAATTACAACTAATAAAAATTTACATGAGCTCGTCGTAAAAATAGCAGGGTGTCAAAATCTTACCCAAGCAGATGTTGGTGAGTGGATTAATGGTGATGAATTGGTGGAAGAATTAACTGATATGGAACTAATAAAAACTGTTTGTAACAATGTCGATGAGACAGTTTTAAGTGATGCTGGTGAAAATTGGACAGAAATGGCTGTCAAAATATCACATTTTGAGGGTTTAGAAGCTCTACAAAACGCGATGACTTACGTCGAACTACAAGACAATGCGATAGTAGTTGATGTGCTACTTATCAAACGTTGGAGGGATATCGGTGCCAAAAAATAGGAACAATGCAAAACGTGTACAGTTAAAAATTACTAAATACTCGCAAATATGTGTATTTGTATCCACATCCACATTTATCCGAAATTTCGATTATCCAAAAACACTTGGGTCCACATTATTTCTGATAATCGAGCTTCTACTGTATATATTTAATTTGAGGGACTGCTCTATCTATGACCCCAAAGCTACTAACGTTTAATGCTATTAAATAATCTTTGTTAACACAGCTACTGACCATCTTAATCTTGACCAATCCCATGCTAGTCCTCATCCCGAACATGATGATAAATCCCATGCAGCTGAGCAAGGCTACCGTGACCCGTTTCGATAGACCCGGTATCTCAGGCCTGAAATACTGATCGATCTTTCTGAGCGGAGGTCGGTCATATTCCGGTATGCTTTCGGGAGTAGTGATCTCTTCCGCCGCCACTTGGCTGTCCGATTTCTTGAGGGATGTATTGAATTGGTCATATTTGTTCCTGTAACAAGAAAGAAATCACTGGTTAATGATAGCTGGCAATAACTAAATAAGTATTATTTGTAGTTCCTAATGTTAAACTAAGGATAAGGGAAAACAAAGTGTTCCAGTGTCAACAGTCAAGTAGCTCTTCCTACAAGTAGGTATGAATGTAACAATTTTATGCATCGCTGTGATATATATCTTTTTTGTACATCTAAAGGACAAACCAATCACTTATATACTATTATAGTTATACTATTTCATATTTACACTATTAAAAAAATGAAGGGAAGAAGTTAAAAATCGAAATTTTTCGGTAATTTTTGACAGGCTGTATTTTGGTGAAAAATGGTTGAATCTAGACTTAAAACATATCATTTTGAATCTCCAAGATTATACTTTATTATAGTTTTCAGGTTTTTTAGCTGAAAAAATTTATGAGCAACGCTTCTCATGCAATTCCAATAGATAGCACAAGAAAACTTATTTGCAAAATTTTTGCCCCCTTTTTATCTTAGTCCACGGGCTTGAGATAATATTTTTCTGTTTGATCACATGGACCAGATAGTCCATTTATTCAGCTTTAATATTCTGTTTTCAAAATTTCAATACAATCATTATGCGCGGAGATATCTGACTTTGAATGAAAAATGTTCCTGGTCACTGATGTCTCGGTAACTACTGAAATTTTCCATAAAATTTTATTGCAATCTTTAAAGATTTTTCTTGTTTCCTTAGGTTTGATTTTAAAAACGTCAAATAAGTGACATTGTTGTTTTGGAAAATCGACTCCATTTTTTGAAATGCTAATGAGAAGGCTTATGTGTTTCGGCTTTTATACTTCAATTCACCCCTAAAAACCCTGCACGATGGATCCATTGTACGGATTGGAAAGAAATAAAAGGAGCAAAGTTTCTGTATTAAAACACCGTGTAATCTGGTTAAAAAGGAAAAAACAATTTTCTTCTTTGGTTGTCAGTATTGGATATTTATAACACCTACATTAAAAAAAAAACAATTGGAAACAATTTGGGATTCCAGTTTTCCCTTACCCTTACATTCTCTGTACGATCACTGGTCGATGACAAAAGGATCCTTTTTCCTTCAAAGTTAGATGTCTCAGCGCCAGATGATCTTATTGAGATTTAAAAAAAAATATTGAAGCTGAATAATTATCCATATGATGGGCTAACAGAAAAACATTTTAATCCCGTGGACTAAAAAGAAGGAGGCAAAAGTTTTGCACATACATCTTCGTGCGCTATCTGTTAAAATTGAATCAGAACCGTTGCTTCTAAAATTGTTGGTGTAAAAAACCTGAAAACTAGAATCTTATGCCTGCAAAATGCCTGCCTTAAAGTCTAGATACGACCATTGTTCACCGAATATACAGCCTCTCAAAAATCACCGCAAAATTATACGTTTCTTTTTCTTGCTCTCTTACTTTTTCGGAGTAGTGAATTTTATTTCTGTTTTCTGTTGTGTCCTTTTTGGAATATGAGTGTTTTGTGTTTGTAATTTGTTATCCTAGTAAGTGCTCTTATATTTATTTACATTTGCCTGTGTTTGTAGGAGGGTAAAATGATAAGTAAATAAATAACTGCAGCAAATATCATCTAGATAAATGTTTATTCAAAGTACCAAATGGTTCAATTAACGCCATGTTCCTCCTGCTTGATTAGGAAACGCACGAGCATAAATTACGTAGGTACAATTAAGTATTCATTTTAGGGCTGGCTTTTAGTTTCATTGCATGTAATTGTAAAATAAAAAAATCCAAACCGTTTTGTTATCATTAAATAGTGTAAACGGTGTACATCATAAATTGATGGCGATGTTATCTTGATTCATTGATTGCTATTTCATCATTTTCGATATGAAAGATTCCAGAAATACGCATCTGTTTCAAGAGTTACATTAGAGACAATTCATTTTGCTCATTTCCGTCAACTACCTGTCTATTGGCGTTCTTCTGCTTGTGTAGTGTCATAAATGGCTGCACCCATTTCGATGTTTGGAAGTGGATGTTGAATGGGGTCAGAGTAGGTAAAGTTACCTCATTTTTGAGAATGGGTGCAACGGTGATGGAGTAAAAAACGGTCCCCAAACTCCCCTTTTGCATGGTCAAAGCTATATGGAAATTTTGGACAACATCGAAAACATTTTTTATGGGGCACTCACTAGGGTGTCAAAAATTCCGAAATCTCTTAAGGCACATTTTTAGAATGCATGTATCATTAATGATACCTAACGAGTCTGAAGAAATAATTGAAATTGATGTATTTTAGATTTGAGGAAAGTACTGAACCAGTTTACTGGATTTTATTTTTTCTTAAAAGTATATTTGCCATCACAGATTTTATACCCAAAATCTCATAGCATGCTAAGCCTTAAAGCAGTATCTTTGAATCTAAATTCTTCTTGCAGTTTATTGAACTTAGCAAAGCTTCTCCACCTTTTGCCAATAATGGAATAGCATGTCCTTTCACATTCAATCACCTCTTTTAGGCTGACGTTAGATTTTGGATATCTTCAAAAACATTTTTTATGGAACCATGTTTCGGAAGATATCAATTTTTTTATTTTCCAACTTTCTAATATCTTTGGGGAACAGCAATATAATACAGACTGGGGTATCGAAACTTAAAATGAAATCTATTAAGTCTCATTTTAAAAATAATAAATTAATTTGATTTGTACGTGAAAGAATAATTAAAATTGACGTATTTTAGATTTTTGGAAAAAGTCTAATCAAAATGCCACTGGTTTGCAAAATAATTGTTGAGGCTGGTTTTATTGCTGCAAGTTGTTCAAGAGGGTATTGAAAACATGGACGTATAAAATGGGTACACCAATTTTTGTGGGAAACAACAACAAAGAATGAGAAAACGTGTTTTTAGGGATTCAACCGAAAGTGTTTGCAGGAACGGAAAAACTTTTTTTGAGTATTTATGAGACCTACAAAGTGAGAAAACACGTAAAAAGATGCGACTAATAACAAACCCAGGCAAACTGCGAGTTTTCGCAATTATTGGTAATGCGACGATGGTTTCTCGCAGGTTTTAGAAATTCTTTAAATTCGTAGGATTCGTACTTCTAGATAACCACAACAAAATAGGAGTAGATTGGTCAAGTAGTTTTTGAGAGTTTCTATTTGCTTATCCCAAAACACCTGTCTTCCGGTCATCACTACTAATTTATTGTGCAATATACAGGGTTAGTTCAAAAAGTATTTTTTAGCAGAATACACTAGCTTACAATGCCGATATGAATCGCAAACCATTCCGGAAGATAAATGTTATTTTTATGCAAAAAAGGATGGGTCACGTTTTTTCTACTAAACTAATTCAAACATTTCGTATTTGTTAGTAATTCGCAACAAAAGATGATAGACATATCTGCTTTGTTTTTTCGAAATGCGAAATGTTTGAATTTGTTTAGAAGAAAAAAACGTAACCTTTGTTTTTCGCATAAAAATAACATTTATCTTTCGGAATGGTTTGTGATTCATATCGGCAAGGTAAACACGTGTATCTTGCTAATAAATGCTCTTTGAACGAACCCTGTATATTGCTCAATAAACTAGTAGTGATGGCCGGAAAACATGTGTTTTGGGACAAACACTTAGAAATTCTCAAAAACTACTTGACCAATATACTCCAATTTTGTTGTTGTTATTTGGAAGTATTAATCCTACTGATTTGAAGAATTCAAGTAGTTGCGTGAAATTACCGTCGCATTAGCAACATTTTTGCTATTAGTCGGATCTTTTTACGATTGTCTCATTTTGTGGGTCTCATAAATACCTAAAAATCTTATATGAGAAGTTTTTTCGTTCCTGTCAACACTTTCGATTGAATCCCAAAAAATACGTTTTCTCATTCTTTGTTGTCAAATAAAAAGTTTTCCCACAAAAATTGGTATACCCATTTTATGCGTCCATTTTTAAATACCCCCTTGAACAACTTATACCAATAATACCAGACTCTACAATTATTTCGGGGAAATTTGCTAATATGATTAGACTAAAAGTACTGAATCAGTTTACTGGATTTAATTTATTCTAAGAATATATATTTGCTTATGCCCAAAGTGTCATACACATCACGCTATGCCTTGAAGCATTATCGTTGTTGTCTAAGTCTAAATTATTTTTGCAATTTGTTGGAGAACTTAGTAAAGCTTCTTGCTTCTCCGCCTTATTGCTAAAAATGGCATTACATGTCCTTTAACATTTAATCACCTCTTTTAACCTGACGATAGATGATTTTGTAATAAAAAAACAAAAGAAAGAATGTGAATATTTAAAAATTGTATGTTGTTTATAATTGCTTTCTGTGAAGATAAAAAATGAGGGTTGATAAACTATTAAACCATTTTTTGTGGAAATCTCGACCATTCCAAAAGTTCTGTAAATACGTATTAAGATGATAAGGACCTTTGAAATCATGATAATAAATACTGCGCTCTTTCTCTTTTCTCATTATTGTTCTCCTGTTCTTCTTTAACCTTGTTTGATTTTTGGGTAACCAGGTCGATAGAAGGACGAACGGTGGACTTTTAATATATGAAAGTAACGGTGACACTGAACAAACGTTGTTTAGAACCGAAAAAAATCTGCTGCCATAAATGGACGAAATGCTGGTAGAGCGGATAGGCTTCACTAATAATTTTTTTTGGAATGGCATCCAAAATTAAAATAGCGCATCAACACCAGCTTGGCGAAAACTTTATTCTGATTCGAAATGTACACAGTGTTTCATGGCTCGTTATATCTACGTTTCTAAAATATCATCCAGATGAAACCAGGCAATGCACACGCCTCTGTTTCATTCGATATCCGGCGTGTACTACTCACCAACTTCATGAATACAGCAGAGCCTCAAGAAAGGAGGCCAGGCAACTGACGTGAAGTGGTCTCTGTTCAGAAATTGCCGGCATCCAGCTTCCTAGGGATTCATTTCAACGTCGCCGTCATCTCCATTTCTTATTCCATGTATAGGCTAGTAAAACTGAGCACTG